TATATATTACTGCAGCCAGCCACCCTCAGCTGCAGCAATTACGTAAAACTAAATAAATGTGGGATCACGGTGACAGTGAGAATCACTGTGTCCTGTAGACACATTGATAAATCACAGCATCGTCCTGTGGGAGGAAGATTCAAAGAGAATCTGCAAAAATAAATTTGACTAAAACCCCTCAGAGGAAACCCAGCAGTCTCCAAGAGAGATGCCCCGAGCCACTTTGAGGATGAGCAAAACATCAACCTCCTCCTCTCAGGTAATGTCAGGTCTCCGACAGTGTGATCCACACAAACAGCAGATGTACAGTGAGCAAAGCATCCATCTCCTTTCTTCTCACCTCTCGCTATGAGTGAAGTAAGTCTGCTGTTTGTGAATCGGACTGAATGAGACCTGACATTCTCTGAGCAAAGTGTATCAGCAGGTCCATTGCTGAGCGATTTGTTAACAGGGTTTCTTACTCCTCTTGTGCCCTTTCTCACTGTACCGACAAAACTTTAAAAATACTTTTAGAAGTTGGTGTGTTTTCTGTTTTACTGATTCTTGATATCTCTCCTACCAAGGATGTAAAACCTGTACATAGGTTTGTTCATTTGTCAGCAGAGATTAGGCAGAAGAACTGAACTGATTTCCATTAACCTTGGTGGAAGGATGGGACATTGGCCAATAAAGAACCAATACAGTTTTGATGTGGATCCACAGATTTTTATCCCTTTCTTGAATGTTTTTGGACATTTTCAGCAATATCTAAAGAAATAACCCATAAATGGTGCTTTTAAAAAAAGGCATAATTGGGGGACTGGTATCAAAGGCTGCTTTCAGAATTGCACTGAAATGGGAGAGTTTCCACGAACATGCAGCGAACAAGTCTTGGTGGAAGTTTATGCTCTACTGCTCTTCTTATTTAATTTCTATTTCTCTCGTCTTCTTCTTTCTTCTCTCGTCTTTCTATGCCCTGCAGCTCTGTTGTGTTCTGAGTGATGTGAATATAGGTGTTGTTTTCTAAAACAAGTCTGTCAAAACCCACTATTTGAAGACTTTTCTTTTAAGAGTTGCATGTTTTTCATAGATCCCAATATGATGGGCGACCTCAGAAATAGTTCGATCAAACCATGAGGCTCAAAGATGTTTACATTTATTACAAACAGTCACAGCATAGAACATTGATACATCATCACAGACAGACAGAATGACATGGAGCAATCTCAGATGTGTCAGATATATGATTTTCTTACAATGAATAATGGATTCATTTTGAAACACTTGAAAAGATAAATAACTGAAGAGCTGCGATCGATTCTGAAGATCTATTGTTTGCCTCAGAGAGAGAAAAGGTGTTTTTCTTTATATAAAAATCCTGTCATCTCACACATCATCATCTTTCTCAGCAATATTTTATGTTGAGACTTGTTTAACTGTAGAATAAAGTTTTATAATCAATGTTTAAATTGATTTTCTTTAATAAAGCACGTGAATACAAAGACCCAATAATATAGATTATATTACATTTTACAGCAACCGTGAGACTTAAAGAGTTATCTGTACAGAATCGTTTATATATATTTTCATCAATCAATCATCAATCTTTAATATTTGAAAGTTAAATAGAAATGTAAGATTTGTAGTTACCATGACTCATGTCAAATAAACATCAGAGAATAACAACAAAGCGGCTTTTCTGTGGATGGTGAAATTTTGTGTCATCTCTTTTCCTCAACATCCTAAAAGAAAAAAACAAAACAAAAGAAAAAGTTCAAAATATAAATGTCAGATAGGTGAAACTTACTTTGCATGTAGATGTCGTCGTACTTACCAAATTTTACTGACAACAGCCAGAGGCATCAAAACAACGACTCCGACAAGCAGCAAAGTTGCAAAAGCATACAGCAGATAATCTGAAAGGACAAAACATTAATCATTCTGTGAATCCTAAACCTCACTGATTTACAGGCATTCATTTTAATAATATACCAATCAACGTAGAGTCCTGAATTTCAAATGGAAATTTACCATGTGACCATGTGTGACGACGCTCAGACTCGTTGACTTCAGGAGGTTTGGAAGGAACACTGCTGCTTTTCAAAGGTGTCACTACAATCAACATAAAATACAAATCTTCAATATTTATCATTAAAGTGTTTGTCCTGTAAATCAATCTTATACTCACTGAACACTGATCTGTTATGAAGCACGTCATGAATCATGTTGCACGTCCGCAGATCATCATTGTGCACGCCTTTGCATGAACAAGGACGGTGCAGCACTGTTCCCAAAGTCTCCACAAAGGCCATTTTACATTCAGGATCTGCTCCAAAGATGAGAGCTGGATCCATGCTGGCGAGACATTCATCAACTCGGAGGTTGCTGTCGCCACACTGATCGTTTTCAAAGCTCCAGCATTTGGCTCGAAAAGCTTCCAACAGGTCACTAAATCAGAGGAAAAAGGATTTTAGGTGCAGTAGCTGGGTCCCTTTGCATTCTGGGTGTTTAAGATAAATATGCACAGTGTATTTCATCACCCTTAATGCCCTGTTAGCAGGCTGATGATTCCACATCAAATCTGCTGTTAAATTTTAATTTCAGGACAGATGGTACTGATAAAAAATGCAAGAGATATGTGTTACAACAAGAAATTTGAATATTTGCTTGTGGATATACTTAATTGGATGCAATTTGTTTTTGGCCAAAAACATGTTTTTCGTGGCAGCCTAGTTTGTGCCATGAGATCTAATTCACCACATCACTGATCATCGGGGTGATGGTTGGATTTCCAATCCCAAATATCATAACAATGGAATAGAACGATCACCAAAACCTACTCCTTTATTCCAAATTTGATTTTCTAAAACTTTTCTATCGCTTAATAATTTTCTGTAGTATTTCTAGTGTGCAAAACACAATATAGAGAACTGTAATATGAATTTACCTGCAGATTCCATCATCAAGACACTGTTTAACCCTCTCCTGGCAGATGCGGGTCTCGTCTGCACACGGGCCGCTGTGCAGAGATGTTTTCATCTGCAGGCAGCTCTCATCTGAAGAGTCGCACTCACACATGACCAGCATCTCTGCCACGTTCTGCGGCATGCTTCCATAGAAATCCCTCGCCACTCGCTGGCAGAGATCAAGGTTGCACGGATCTGCTGTACATGCCTGGAGAACAGATATCAGGTGCTTGTTGAAAACGGCGTCACCGAGACAAACTGTCATCTGGTCGAAGCAGGACCCAGCACCATCATATACTATGATAGGAAGAAAAATGTATTGAGTGAATGAGACAAACAAAATCATGTTTATATTGAATCAATTCAATATCTTCTCAGATGAGGTCAAATCATAATCAAATAATTACCATGGCCGATTAATGTGCTTGACTTCCAGTCATCCACCGTGCTCCTCTTCTGGTGACTCGCTGTACAAATAATTGAAAGGCTGATTAGCTTTTCTGCCACAAAGGCCTATTAGAACCAACCTGAGACTCATTTTGCAGCCTGGTGTCTGTTCATTCATTGCCATACCTCTTTGGTAAACACAAAAAGTAATTCCAGCTTTAAATGCTTATCACAGAGAGACACTGAGAATACTGCACCTGGCCTTCTGTGGCATTGTTCGGCAAGCGCTTGTATGGAGTCGCACAGGTCCTCCTCCTCCTCCGTCTCCCAGGCACACACACACCCTCGCAGTGAGGGAAATTGGTCCAGTGCGGTCTGGATGGTCATGTTACAGACCTCTGAGCCCTTTATTTGGCACCCTTCATCTTGAATGACACAAACAC